TTTCTTCTTTTCCTTGCCAAACTTCTTTTTGGGCTTTTCCTTCTGAAGCTTTGGGCAATCACTTTTGTAGTGTCCTTGCTCGTTACATTCATAGCAGATGATGTCTTTGTTGTTTGGCTTTCTGTTTCCTGAAGAACTTTCAGATCTTCTATGCCCAGAGGAGGATTCTGACCTTCTGTATTTGGAGAAAGATTCATTCTGATTTTCTGATCTTCTGGGATTCCTGAACTTTCTTTGCCTCTGCTTCCATAGTTGGTTCACCCTTCTAGAGAGGAGAGACAGTTCATCTTCTTCTGATGAGGACCCATCAGAGGTTTCTTCTACAGCCTACAAAACTTTGGAGTCAGATTTTCTGTTAGATTTTAAAGCTAATGGCTTACCTTGCTTTTGAGGTTCATCTACTTCTAGATCTATCTCGTGACTTCTGAGGGAGCTGACAAGTTCCTCCAGAGAGATTTTGTTGAGATCCTTGGCTAGCTTAAGCGCTGTGACCATTGGCCACCATTGTTTTGGCAAGCTTCTGATGATCTTCTTAACGTGATCAACAGTAGAATACCCTTTGTCAAGAACTTTGAGACCAGCAACCAGAATTTGAAATCTTGAGAACATAGTTTCTATTGATTCACTCTCTTCCATCTTGAATGCCTCATACTTCTGAATGAGCGCAAGAGCTTTGGTTTCTTTGACTTGAATGTTGCCTTCATGCGTCATTCTCAGAGAGTCAAACATATTCTTTGCAGTGTCTCTGTTTGATATCTTCTCATATTCAGAATAAGAGATGGCGCTGAGAAGAATTGTTCTGGCCTTGTGATGATTTCTGAAATCACGCTTTTGCTGATCAGACATTGCTTTCCTGTCAATCTTCTGACCACTTCCATCCAATGGGTGCGTGTATCCATCAATCACCATGTCCCACAGATCAGCATCATGGGCCAGAAAGAAGCTTTCAATTCTGTCTTTCCAGTAGTCAAAGTTCTCTCCATCAAAAACTGGAGGTTTGCCACTGAATCTGTCTCTTTCTTCATTGTTGTCATTGTTGATGTTTTGATGAGGTCCTGCCATTGTGTTTTTCTGACGCTGGATCTTGTACTGACACGGTTAAGTGTTATAAGCTCAGAACCAGGCGCTCTGATGCCAATTGAAGATGTGAAAAACACAAGAAAGGGGGTTGAATTATAAATCTTAAATCGAAGGCTTAGACAACACTGTATTTTTATCCTGGTTCGTTTGATCTCAAACTACTCCAGTCCACCCGTCAAGGTGATTTCGCCTCTCTCCAACGAGGTCTTAATCCACTATAATCAACTGATTACACAACTACTTTAACAACTGTTAAAGCCTTCTTGAGTATAACCATAGACTAGTTTATCTCAAGGAAATTCTCTTACAGATAATTGAACAAAAGTGTGTTTGATGTTTTCTAACAAAACTATATATCACAACTGTGATAATACACAATATTAAGCTTAGAATGAAACTGGATTTGCTAGAGCGGTAGAGTAGGCGTGGTTGGAAAGCTTAGCAAATTGTATGAGTGCGTGCGTGTAGATTGTTAGCTCAGGCGTGTATATGTGTGAAGATTATTAGCCTTTTCTTTTCTCACACTGACTTGTTTATATAGCTAAGGAAAAGATATGTTGTTGTCCATAAATCACTTTCAATGATAATAACGTTCTTTCCTTTTTGAGAAGATCTTGTCTTGGAATAAAGCCGTTGGTAATTAATCTGTCTTGAATGCTTAGAAACACTGACACTTCAGAGTCTTCTCTGCTTATGGTAATCAGAGTGTTCTTGGCTTTAACTTATTTTGACACTTTTGAGTGCTGATGACTTGGTAAGGATCTTGATCAGAGTCAGAGTATTTTATGCGCAGATTCTGGTCATCAGTCTTCAGCGTATGATCTGGTAACTTCAGCGTGTAGCACATGTTATTGATCTTTTGATGCTGACATATCTTCTGATGCTGATGTTGATACTAATCTTTTGATGCTGATTCCATCAGAGTTTCTGTAAATACACAACATAATTTTAAGTAGCATATATGTCTTATATATAAATCTTACGATTTATTTATTCTTGTATTTTGTTATCATCAAAACTCTAATTGAGGGTTGTAGAATCAAACTATGTTCTAACATCTCTCCTATTTCCTGGGAATGGAATTCAAAGACATTGAAGAAGGAGTTTTCTTGCATCAAATGAAGTATGCTAAAGATATACTGAAGAGGTTCAATATGAGAAACTGTAAGGAAACTGTTACTCCATTAGAAACTGGAGCAAAGCTGAAAAAGGAATCGAATGACGAGTTTGTAAGTTCGACCCTTTACAAACAAATCATTGGATCCTTGAGGTATCTTTACAATACTAGAGAAGATATCTGCCAAAGTGTAGGATTGTTAAGCAGATTTACGAAGAAGCCTCAAGAATGTCATCTCATCATAGTGAAGATGGTGTTGAGATACATAAAGAGAACTATTAATCACGGTGTGCTGTTACCAAAGAAATCAAAGAACAACTCAGATGTCGAAGTTCCTGGATACACTGCCTCAGACTTCAGTGGAGATCAAGACGAAAAGAAGAGTACTGCAGGATACGTTTTCATGATCGAAGGAGCTCCAATCTCCTGGAGTTCGAGGAAGCAAAGCATTATGGCTTTGTCATCATGCAAAGTAGAATATGTGGTTGCATCATATGCTGCATGCCAAGCAGCATGGATCGAAATGCTACTTGAAGAACTCAGAATAATGGAATCGAAGATGAAGCTGTTTGTTGATAACAAGTCAGCTATAAACCTTGCGAATCACCTAGTGTGTCATGGTCGAAGTGAGTAAATATAAAGAAGGTATCATTTTATGAGGGATCAAGTCAACAAAGGGAAGCTTGAAATAAAACATTGTAAGACAGAAGTGCAACTAGCGGACATATTCACCAAACCTCTGAAGAAAGTGAGGTTCGAAGAGTTAAGGAAAGGCATCGGGACGAGAAGTCTTAATAACATGAATTAAGGGGGGGTGTTAGTTGGTTAATTCTTTTTATGTGGTTATTTGAGCTTTTAGCATGTATTTGGGCCTGGACACTTTGCCTATATAAAGCGTCATTATGTTTGTAATCAAAGAGTAACAATAATAATACATTCAGTTAGAAAGTTAGTTACACTTAACTAACTCACAATCTCTCTCTTCTCTCCTTCTTCTTCATTCTTGTTTTCACAAAATCATCTTTCTTGAATCCTTTGTTTCAACAGTTTATGCCTTTTTTGTTGTAATTATATGCTTAAAATCAATTTTATTTAAAACCATCTGAATAATATGAATTGACAACAATCATTTCTACATTATTGTAATCAAATATAAATCAAATTACTTTCAATTCAACTCTGTCAAAATCAATTATGTAAAAATCAATTTCATCAAAATCAATTTTATCTACCGTAGAACCAAACATACTCCAATATGATGAGAATTTTTTGAGATCTAGAATTCCGTAACGATATGTTATTAAGGTTGCTCATGAGTATTTTTTGACTGTTGAGTTGCATGATAGTAAGATGGAGTTAGCCCGAGAGGCTAAGCAAATAAGATAGTCTCCTCCTTTGGATTAGGTGAGATTGAACACAAATGGATCTAGTAAGACTATCTTGATAGCTAAACATGGTAGTCTTTTAAGAGGTTGTACGAGTGAGTGGCTTGGAGGTTTCTTTTAATATTTGGGTTCGTGTAGGGCATATTCCTAAAATTTGGGATTTGCTAGAAGAATTAAGATTAACAAAAGAGTTTGAATTTCGGAATATTAAACTTCATATAGATTAATACAACAAATTTAACATTTGCTCAAACTAAATTTAGAAATACATATTTGTCATATTTATCATACATCATATACTTGTGGTGATACATTTACCAACATGGAATATGATGTAAATCCTAATTAAATTTTCTTATTTTATTAGTTGATTTATTGAAATATCTATTCTAAAATTGGTAGATATGTAATTTTTTTCCCACTTCGGCCCTCTTTTCTTAAAACATAAATCAAAATCAAAGTATAAAGGTGGGATTTAGATTATCCCTTATAAAATTGAGTTAATGATATATACCAATAAAATTTTATTATATAAATATTTAGTTTATGTCTTTTCTCACTTAAAAAAAGGTTTAATATCCCCTTTTTTATTTAATATAAGAGTTATTACTCGCCGTTGATATACTAATATTTTATTATTCAAAAATTAAATTATATATTATTTTCTTGATTTTATTTTAATTTTTTAATATTTTAGATTAATATATAATTTTTAAATTTTATTTTGTATAATAAATTTTAATTGATACATATTATATTATATGAGATAAATTATATAGTAAAAATAAATAAATATCAAAGATATGAATCTTTTTGTTTTATTTATCCACCGATTGAACTAATTATTTCTCCGTTGACACTGCATCCCTAGCCCATCATCATGCACCCAAGGTAGGCTCACTTTCTAAAGAATGTATAACATTTTCAAAACACATCTATCATTACATATGATAAAAAAAAACACTGATCAAGACCAGTAAACACAATAATATAAGCGTGGAAAGTTTACAAATTTAAATATTCTTTTTTTTGGACAAACAAATTTAATCTAATTAAAATAGCCTAAGCGTGTAAATTATGCTTTGAACTCGTAACGGAAAATATTTTTATCTGATTACACTATAATATCATCATTTCATACATTATACATACAAGATATTGTACACACACTACATCTACGATTGCAGAAAATTGAAGAAAAAATATTCAAAAAATGTATAAAACTCTGCACCTAAGCATCCCTATTTTTCCTCAAGTAATTAACAACAATGAACTAGTTATTACATTTTATAAATATTTTTAAATTAAAACTATCCCTCGGTATATATACTAAATAATACTAATACATTATACATTATACATTATTATGAGTATATTAATACACTCATAATGTATGATACATAAGATGAAATAAAAAACTAATTTCTAGATGAATTTGCAGAAGAATCCAGAAGAGATAGGTAAACCTGACTCTGGATCACTGTCTTACCAATTTTGAAACCCGGCACCACCGTGAAAACCACCCGAAGTTCGCCGGAGTTAGAATCAGTAGAATCCCTTGAACACGAGGTAGTTGAAATTGAAACTGATTCTTCTGTGATACTTTCCATGTAAACCTCAGAGAATCTAGTATTCTTCTTGACCTGAAAAATGGTGACAGTTTCTTGAAATGACAATGCTAAGTAATGCAGAGTCCAAACGCGCTTTGCCATCTCAGCAAAAGCTATGAAAAAAGAAGAATGTGGAAATTCTCCAGAGTTCACTAGCTTTCTCTGGTTCAAGTTTCCGAATAAAGAACACTCCATTTTAGCGTGAACGAGTTGAAGATATTTGGATTTTAGAAACTTGGCGAAAGACGAGTTTGGATTGTTTTCCAAGTATTGTTTTGTATTCAGAGATTTCAGGTTGTTGAATTTCTCAAAGTAATGATTCTGATGAGTATTGTGAAGAGGTTCATTTGAAGAAACGAAGCCTTCGAACATTGTAATGCATATAAATGATTCAAAAGCGAAACAACGATGACTTGGTTTACTGAAAACCGCTTTTGGATGAATGAATTTAACAGCAGCTTCAACGTCCCAGTTTGCTGACTCCATTTCTTCGATCATAAGTTTCACAAAACTGCGTATTGATCTCAAGGTATGGTGAAGAAAATAAACAAAGTGTGTCTGATTCAACGATGAAAGTTCAAGGTTAACAAAGAGTGACATAGAAGCATTTGAGTTAAGCTTTTTCTCAAGTGATTTGTTGAATGAATTGCATTCATAGAGTTTTTTCCGAAGAGATGAAATTTGAGAGTCTCTAGCGTCAACCTCTCCTTGAATCTTCTTGATGGTGATTTCGTATGTTTTCATTATGCTTTGTTGTTCTTGAATCTCTGCAAGCATTATTGTAACTTGAGGTGAAAGATCAAGCTCTTTTTTCAAGAACCTTCTTTTCAATTCTGAGATGGATCTTAGTTCTACCACCACGGCTTGATCCGCTGCTTGAATTGAATCATTGTTGTATGGATGTTGAGCCATTTGAAGCTCTGCATACGCTGCTTTGATCGTGGTAACTCCTGCGAAAAGCCTCGCAATTAGAGCTTCCATAACTGCTTTGTTTCTGACCTTGTTCTTGTTCTTGTTCGTGTTCGTGTTCTTGTTGGTGTGGTTGCCATTGGTATTGATGTGATGATCTGAGAAAGGTTCTTGATCTTCTTTCACTTTGAGATTTGAGTTGAGCATGCAAATTCCATTGTTTGATGCGATTTTCGTTGCGCTTTTGAGACTGATCACCTTCTGGAATGTTTTGGCGAATTTCTTGCTTCGGTTGTTCATTGCTGATTTTGGTTTTATTGTTTCCATCTTCTTAAGTGAAAAGAGTTTTGGTATGAAGTTGAAGCATAAGAATTTAATTGAGAAAGGAAAAAAGTTTGTATGAGCTTGTGTGAATTAATGTTGAAAAAAAGAGAAGATTTTGATTGGAAAAGCAAGCACAAATGTTTGACTAAAGGATAGAGATAGTTAGTGAGATTAATATTTTGCTTGAAATCGAGAAAATATAATTTATTATTAATAATAATAATACTAATGACCTGTTTACAATCAACACCTATAAGCTTTAAACTTTGTCTTTCTTTATCTATATAAACATATTTAAGTTTTTTTTTGGTTGGTAAATAAACATATTAAAGTTTTGACTAATTGAATTGATTTATAAATAAAAACAAATATTGTTTTTGAAGATTGAATCTTAAATTAATAGGTTAGTCTTATAAAATAAAATAAAAATTAAATTGAACGGTTGAAAACCAACTAAATAATAGGGTTGATTTTGTAAAATTGTTCGGTTCAAAATAATGTGTATTATTAATCAATTTTAATATTTTTTATAAAAAATTAAAAATTATTAATATGCTAACATTAATACTTAAAATGTTTTTCTTTTATAAAAATAAATTTTTTCTTTAATACAAAAGATCAATATATTTTTTAAATTATAACATTATATTATAGTTTTTTTATAAATTAAAGACACTTTTATTAATTCAAAAACATTCTACACAAGGCGATCTCAAGGATCCAACCCTAAGAAGACAAGCGGAGCAATAAAAAGCTAACTCTATAACATTAGTCTAGTTATATGAACTCGCAGTCTAAAGGAACTCCAGGCCTTATAAACTACAATGTTTATAATTGTTTCCTCAATATTCTTATTATTCACAAAGTTACCAAAACTCTTGTCGTTTTTATATCTTCAAATTTCATAGATTGTTTCCATCATTGCAAGCTTGATCAAAGCATAGTTCTTCCCTTTTTCCTTACTAACCTGCTCCAGCCAGTTCCTCTCAGTATTCCAATCACCCGGTTTATGCGTTATCTGCATCCACTTCAGGACGTTGGCCCAAATATTGCACTGATGAGCGCACTCGAAGAACAAGTGATTAATGGTTTCTTCTTTATCATAGAAACTACACCCAGTTTTATCCATCATGCCCATTTGTGATGTCTCATTTTGGTGTCCAGCCACTCATGACAAACAAGCCAAGTAATGAAGATGACTTTAGGTTTAGCATAATTGTTATAGAAAATCTTTCTCCAAGACACATTTTGATGCTCACCCCTCAAAGCCATATACATAACTTTCATGTTGAACTTATCTTTTTGCTGCATATCGTCCCACAAGTGCAAATTCTTAACCACTTCCCTATGCTTGAAAACATTTTTTATGATCCACGAACTATTGGCTTTTATCGTGGCATCCATAGGCCTATCTTTCTTCAAGTAGTACGCATGTATCCACCTCATCCAAACATTATCCTTGTTGCAACAAATATTCCACAACAGTTTAAGCATAGTAACTTTTGGCCACGTCCTTAAGTCTATTAGGTTGCAGTCTTCAATACTCTTGGGTCTGCACACTTGCTCCCACGCTACAAGAGCCTTTCTGCTAATAATAACGCCACATGTTCACAAAAAACTTTGGGAAATCGCATCAACTTTAGCAATCGCAACCTTAGGCAAAGGGAGGCAAGTCATCCAGTAATTCGTTATGGAAAAAGACACATTCTTCAACATCTACAGACGCCTTGTATAGCTCAATAACTTGGTGCTCCAATGCTTCATCCTCCCCACAATTTTCTCCACTAAACCCATATAATAGTGAATATTGAGCCTTCGGGCAGTGACTGGAATTCCTAAGTAACGAAAAGGCAACGAACCCATAGATAAATATGTCTTCTTCATGATCACCTTCTTATTATCCTCATTCATACCCTCAAAATACATGTGACATTTGCTAGTATTCATCTTGAGACTAGTAGAATCAGTAAACTTTTGAAAGGCTTGCATCATTAAATCTACAGAAATAACATCACCGTTTTCAAGGAGAAGCAAATCATCAGCAAAGATCAGGTTAGTCAACTTTATTTTCTCACACTTTGAATGGTAGTTGAAATTCGGGTTTCTCTACATTTGATGAAGGCATCTACTCAAGTACTCCTTGGTGATCACAAACACCAGAGGGGATATGGGATCCCCCTGCCCGAGGCCTCTTTTGGCTGGCATTGCATCAGTCACCTTACCATTAATGTTAAATCTATATGATATAGTTGACACAAAATTCATGATCCAATTGGTAAGCCTGTTAGGGAATCCCATTTCAGACAGAGTGCACTCAAGAGCTTTCCAATCGACCATATCATATGCTTTCTGAAGATCAATCTGCATCAAACACCTAGGAGGTCCCCCACTTATGTTATATCCCTTGAGCAACTTAAAAGCTATCAATATGTGGTTATGTATGTTCTGACTTGGCAAAAAGGCTTCCTGATTAGTATTGACCATAAATCCAATCACATCCTCAAGCCTCTTGGTCAAGATCTTAGAGATAAACTTATAAGTAGTGGTACAACAAGAGATTAGGTGATAGTCCTTAATGTGCTTAGCCTCATCCTTCTTTGGGATCAAAGTAACCATGGTGTAATTCACATCCCTGTACAACCTATTGTTCTGAAAGAAATCATGCACATCTTCAGTAACATCAGCTCCAATGGTTTGCCAGCTCGTTTTGAAAATTTTGGCTCCAAACCTATCAACCCCAGGGGCTTTCAAGTTACCAATACCTTTTAGGACTTTGGAAATTTCCTCATCAGTCACAGTATTTATGTGGGAATTCCTCTGATTTTCAGATAATTGAGGCATGGAAATAGGCATTATTCCCATCCCCCAATTTTAACCACTCAATTTTAGATCTCTGTTGGAGAATCTGCTCCTCAATCTCCCGAAACTTGACCACTTCCTTAGTATAGAATTTCACTTTCTCTATCTTGCTACAGTTCATTTTGTCATTCATAAGGCTTTTTTGAGCTTCCAAGAGATCTTCCCTAGCCTTCAGGATTTTATGGGGCATATTTGCTAGGGGTTTAGTAAACTTCCTCAATACAGGTTGTAATCTCCTTAACTTCTGCCACAACACGTGCATGGGTTTACCCTTGATAGGCCCCTTCCAACTATTAGCCACAATATCCTCATAAACCATGCAGCTCAGTACTACTGTTAAGAAATTTAAATTGGGGTTTCCTCTTTCTATCATCAGCCAGGTCATGCAAACTGATCAAAATATGATCAGAAACATTAGGGGGGTGGGTGATGAATCTTGTGTTCAGGTTTTTTCGAAACCAATCCAGGTTGCCTAGCACTTTATCAATCTTTGTGTGCATAAGGTCCTCAGCTTATTTATTAGATCAGGTATAGTAATCACCTTCACTATCCATCTCATGGAGCCCAGTTTTGCTCATCATAGTATAGAGGTTTATATACTCTTTTTCAGTAACAATGTTCCCTCCAAGTCTGTTATTTACTTTGGTGACATTGTTAAAATCTCCAATCAGAACTCATGGGATTTGTTGTTACCTGTGAATTTTCTCTAAATCCATCCAAAGGTGTCTCCTCTTCTCCAGCTTGCTCATTCAATACACAACAGTCAGCCAGAAATTGAAATTTCCATGTGCATCATTCACAACATAGTAGATAAACTGACATGAGTTATCTCTAACCGTAATATCAACCACATCATTGTTTCAGTTAATCCAAATGCGCTCATTCTCATGCTTATTATAATTGTCCATATAATTGTTTTTGAGATGAAGCTTACCTCTAATCTTGCTAGCATTTCTACATTTAACTCTAGTTTCAATCAGAACTATAATACTTGGCCAAATATTATGGAGACGGAAGTTAATCTCCTTAATCTTACCCAGTTTATTGAGCTCCCTTACGTTACAAGCTATAATCATGATCCAGGGTCTATGATCTATGTCGAATCATTCAAAATTCGCAAAACCCTGAACCCATTTTCATAGTGGACCATATTTGATTTTTCATAGTTTACCTGGTTTTTCCCTTCTCTTTGTTACTCCTACCAACATTATATTATAGTTTCTTTATTTAATCATACTATTAATTATAATATAAATTTGATAATAGATTTTTAAAATATTTATTTTATTAATTTATAAATTATGTAACTTATCAATAAAATCTAATTTTATAAAATTTATTTATTTAATAAATAATTTATTAATAGATTTAACCGATTAAATCAAATAAATCTTAAATTAAAAATCTCACCGGTTTAATTTTCGACTCAATTTTTAAAATATCGTAATAGACCCATTTATCTTAATTATCACATATCAACTTATCTATTTCACCTACCCATTTATAGAGTTATTAGAGTCAGAAAAAAAATTCAAAACTTTAAGAGTTTATTAAAAATATTTATGTATCAAATTTGAATTTTTGTGAAATTTGAATAAAAATCTTATCAACTAAACTAATATGTATAATTTTTTTAATCTTTAATATATTAAAACAAAATACTATGTCAACAATATTTTCATCCCAACTTCTCATTAAACTCATCAATATCCCACATAAACTGTATTAAATTATTCAAATCTTTTACTTTTTTTTTTCATATAAAAATTTCTTCATATTCTTAAACCTTCAGTTTTTTCATATAAAAAGCTCTTCATATTCTTAATTGATTTTTAATTTCATCCACCTCAAATATTAATAAATAATTTATTATATATTTTTATTATACTCTCAAATATTTATTATTGACTATTCTTTCAATTTTTAAATTTATCTTTTCTATATTATCAATACAAGACAATTTTACATAAAAAAATTTTGAATTTTCTTTTCTATATAATAATAGTAATTATATTATGTAAATTTTCCCAATAAATATTATAATATTATATTTCTATTCCATATTCCAACCTGAATATTTTGAAGTTATATTTCCATTCCAAATCTTAATCTTTTTTGTAAATTTTAATGTTATATTTTTATTT